AGGAGGGAGGGAATTGGTGCTGGAGAGATGACTCACCAGTTACTTTTAAATTTAAAAATTAAAAAATAAAAAAAAAACTTTAGGAGCTGATTCTTTTAATGCCATTTTGTTTTAAATAAACAGAATTTCCACAAGACTAATATCTGTATCTTTTAAAAACATCAAGGTATGACAAACACCAAAGGCTTTCAATAAATAGTAGAAGTAAAATTTCCGAATAAATGGATTACAATTCTATCAATTGCTGTGAGTGACACAGGGGTTATACTTACAGCTATGAGGATAAGGCATATACATCCTCGATTATGGTGTGCACACACATAATAGGGTATATTATGCTAATCTTTGTCAGCAAAATAAGCACACCATTCACTATGTTTCTAGACTGTTCATTATTTAACTTCATTTTTAGTTGTGATTTCAGGCATAAATATTATCCTCTGTTTCACTCACAGAAAACTTCATTACAAAGTGTAAATATCATTCTTGTTTTGAATTGAAATAAACAAGAATTGTAGAAATTAAATAGCATACCTAAGTTTAGATGTTCAGTAACCATATGTTTAAAAGTGATATTTTTCTTCTCTCTCTTTTCTTTCTTTCATTCTTTCTTTCTTTCCTTTTTGTTTTTTCAAGACAGGGTTTCTCTGCAGCTTTGGTACCTGTCCTGGAACTAGCTCTTGTAGACCACGCTGGCCTCAAACTCACAGAGATCCACCTGCCTCTGCCTCCTGAGTTCTGGGATTAAAGGCGTGTGCCACTACCGCCTGGCAATGTTTTTATTTTCTCTATCATCAGTAGTTGTATTTATTTACATTGTTCAGTTTGTTAGTTCCAGTAACACTTGGATAATACTTTCCTTGAGAGAGTGATGGGACTCATGTTTACAGATGAGTAATATAAGTTCTCATTTGAATAAGGCAGTTGAATATTAATTGGTAAATATAAGATGGAGATCAAGGGACACAGTTTCTCAAGAATCAGAAATATCTCATATCCATGTTTAATTTTTATCTTTGTATACAACCATTTGAATAATCAGATAAGTAACATTGAAACTATTACTGGTAAATGATTTGCCCAGTAATTAAGGCAACAAATTGCATAAGGTGCTACTCTGTTACCAAAGGGACAATTTTCTACTTCATACATAAAAATATTACATAATTTTTACTTTTTGTCTAATAATTTGAATGGATTTTGAGGTGAAAATTAACCACAAAGATTTTGAAGAACATTGTGGTAGGTATTATGAAATATGACCACTGTTATCTTACATAAAGCATTCCATTAAATCTTTATTTTTAAAATTTATAGTGTATGAGACCTTTAAAAAGTAATTTATATTCAGATATTCTCTTAAAATTCTGTTAAATCACTTTGTGTTTTTATTAGCTGAAGATAGCATCTATCCCCAAATAAAATTGGACAAAAATATGATATTTGAGAAATATAAAAACATTTTGTTTCTACAACCCATTCTTTTGAGATATTTGTGGACTTTGCAAACAAAGCTCCATTTGATATTAAACACATGGCATAGTAGTTCTATGAAAAATATGTCTCTGATTTAGGATTTCTATTACCAATTCATATTTATCAAGCATCCACAAAACTTCCTTATTTCAATGATTATTTTGTTCAACGATAGAAGGCTGAGTACATAAAATATCTGCTAAAATATTACAGCAATCATCTAAACATGAGTTAAAATATAGGCTTACAAAGATGTATGACTTAGTTTTCTAATTTCGTTTCATGTTTATTTGCCCAGAGTTAAGTTATAATATAAATTAATATTATCTCAACTGACACAATTTATATGATAATGGAAGCATTGAGTATAAAAAGAAATATGTAAGCTTAGACTTTTTCCCTGAATGGTTATCCTTTTCTGCATGAACACTGAATGAGAAGCAGTGTGTATGAGCGTGTGTGTGTGTGTGTGTGTGTGTAATTATTAAGTCCAATTAAGAATACTTTCACAATTTTGGGGAAGAAATTTGGAATTATTCTTGAAAGTATATAGAATAATAATTATCTGTTTATCATTTCAAAATAAAAATTGTAATAAGATTTTTTTTAAAAAAAAACTTTGGAAATATGCTGTGGGACAATGATCTTGTACTTCGTAAAGATTTGTAAGTTGTATTGCTTTAATAAAATGCTGTCTGGCTAGTAGACAGGCAGAAAGTATAGGTAGGGCAATAAGAACAGGAGAATTCTGGGAATTTATATATGTGTATACTGTGGAAAGTTTTTACACTCATAGTAGGAAGCTTCTACTATGGTTAGGTTTCCACGTCTTTTACAAAGGTCTTTAGTATAGGTTATTGCGATTGTCTGAATGAAAATGGACCCCACAGACTCTTAGGGAATAGCACTGTTGGAGGTATGGCCTTAGTGGAATAGGTGTGGCCATGTTGGAGGAAGTATGTCACTGAGGGGCTTTCAAATTTCAGAAACTCAAGCCTGGCCTAGTGGCTCACTCCTGCTGCCTGTGGATCCAGAGGTTAACTCTCAGAAACCCACCTAGCACCATGTCTGCCTACATGACACCATGCTTCCCACCATTATGACAATGGACTAAATGAACTGTAAGCAAGCCCAGTTAATGTTTGCCTTTGAAGAGTTGCCTTGGTCATGATGTCTCTGCACAGGAATAAAACCTTAAAGATGACAGTTATAGCCCTGCCTCAAGTCTACTCTCTTAACTCCTGCCTTGCTTAGCTGATCTTGCCCCATTTCTCACTTTTCTACTTCATACCACCTCATCCACCTCTTCCTTGGCTAAGGTTAGGTTAGTCTGTTCTTTCCAGATGATTTTTAAGTTTTTTTTTTCTTGAGGAAATTTCAAATTGATCTCCATAATGACTAGACTAAGTCACACTTTGCCTAGGAAGGTACAAGGCTTTCCTTTTATGTCCACCCAGGCTACAATTCACTTTCTTTTCTTTTTTATTGAAATTTTATTTTCATTTTACATACCAACCCCAGTTCCCCTCCCTCCCCTTCTCCTTCCCCTCACCTCCTGCCATTCTATCCCCCTATCCACTCCTTGAAGGGGGCACGGCCTCCCATGGGGCATCAACAAAGTCTGGCATACCAAGTTGAGGCAAGACCAGGCCTCTCCCCTTGCATCAAAACTGGGCAAGATATCCCAGCATAGGGAAAGGGCTCCAAAAAGCCAATTCAATAAGTCCTGGTCCCAGTTATAGGGGCTCCACAAACAGATCAAGCCACACAACTGTCATCCACATTCAGAGGGGCAAGTTTGGTCCCATTCAGGCTCCCCAACTGTCAGTCCAGAGTCCCTGAGCTCCCACTAGCTCAGTTCAGCTGTCTCTGTGGTTTTCCCCATCATGATCTTAACCCCTCCTTGTTTATATGATCCCTACCCCCTCTCTTCAGCTGAACTCCATGAGCTCAGCTCAGTGCTTGGGTGTGTATCACTGCATCTGCTCGATCAGTTACTGGATGTAGGTTCTATGACAGTTAGGGTAGTCACTAATCTGATTACAGGGTCAGGCTAGTTCAGGCACTCTCTCCACTATTGCTAGAAGTTTTAGCTGTGGTCATCTTTGTGGATTCCTGAGCATCAGGTTTCTCCCTATACCCATAATGACTCCCTCTATCAAGATATCTCTTCCATTGTCCTGCCTCTCCGTTCCTTCCCCAATTTGGCCGTCTCAAGCCCTCATGTTCTAATTACCATCCTCTTCCTACTACCCCTTCCCAGTTTACCCAAGAGATCTTAACTATTGGACATATACCCAAAAGATCATACCACAAGGACACTTGCGAAACTACGTTCATAGCAGCATTATTTGTAATAGCCAAAACCTGGAAACAACGTAGTTGCCCCTCAACCAAAGAATGGGTAAAGAAAATGTGGTACATTTATATAATGGAGTGTTACTCCAAGGTAAAAAAAACAATGACATCATGAAATTTGTAGGCAAATAAATGAAACTAGAAAAGAATCATCCTGAGTGAGGTAGCCCAGACCCAGAAAGACAAATGATATGTACACACTCATAAATGAATATTAGACATAAAGCAAAGGAGAGCCAGGCTACAATCCACAACCCTAGAGAAGCTAGGTAAAAAGGAGGACCCCAAGAGGGACACAAATAGAGGGTCCCAGGAAGGAGAATTTGTTTTCTTAATGATTGTTTTTCTGAATGGGAGAAACAGTCTCTCAATGAAGTTTCACTTCTATTTCCTCATGTATAAAGATGTTAGCCATTTATACGAATATTGCACATCTGTACTTCACATTTTAAGAGTGGTCTATTCACTAGTCCATTTATAATCACATTCACAGCCTCTTTTTATTGATTTTAATTTCATGGAATCCATTGTCAGTTCTTGGCATCATTTCCTTAACTACTAGGGTACAAGGGCAAAATCTATGATTCCAGGATGAAAAGCTAGCAATGGGTAGATCCCTGAAGCTAACTGGCAATACACTGCAACCAGGCAGTGAACTTGAAGTCAGTTAACAGACCTTATCTCAAAAAAATGACTGAGAAAGACATTTTGCCATTGACTTCTGACCTACACCTAAACAAACACACGTGTATGAGCACCAGTACACATCTGTGTACAAACACACACACACAAAAAATAAGCAGTTTGGTTTTATTCAGTTACAAAATGAGGTTATTTTATTTTTCATCTTCAAAAATTGAATGAAACTGGATATCATTATAATAAGCAAAAAAGTCAGAATCAGAAGGACAAATATTACATGTTTCTTCTCATATGCAGGAAGAAACTATATTTAAACTTACATGTGTGTTATGTATGTATAAATATACATATGAATATAATATGTATACACAAGTAGAAAGAGGGCTAAGAGAGGGGAGAATGATATATAGAGGATAATAGAGTATTTGTGACAACATGAGGCAGAGTAAGAGACCATTCTAGGGGAGGGAGAGTCCAGTAAGGGAAGAAGGAATTGGGGAAGGGAAAGAGAAGAGTATTGGGGGTGAGAATAATCAATACAATGCTTTATTTTCATGGAAACGCCATAAAAAAAGAAACTTACTACTTTGCATGATGTCTAAAATTTAAAGAAAAAACACAAGATGCAAATGAGAGATTACATTGCTCACTACAGGTATTATACATTACAGCAATTGATACACTTGGCATCAAATAGAAGTTTTGGGCTTCACATTTTCCATGCGGGCTGTTAGGGAAATTCAATGTGATTACTCTGAAATACATGAAACATGGATCATACTGAGAAATGCCACCAAAGCAATGAGCTGACTCTGCTAGTGAAAATCATCAGTGTGGCAGATCTTAAATAATAATAATAAAAAGTTTACATTTGAAAAAGTTATAGTTAGGAGAAACTATAATTTGTTCCATAATCATCATAATTATTTGAGACATAGAAAGTCTGTTGGAAATGCAAATAACTCAATTTGGAATTTAGAGCATACAAAATATGATTATCTTTCTTTTGACAGCTTGAGTTTACAAACCTAGATTAATACAATGTCATAGTTTTTCCATTTCCTCATTAAAGAAAGAATTGAATTTTATAATTCAAATACAATGCAGAGATCAACAAGTGCTTACAGTTTTGAGACTCTCTGCTCTGTGAGTGAAAGTTTTTATGTCATGTTAAAAGGAGGCAGAGCCAGGCAGATCTCTGTGAGTTCGAGGCCAGCCTGGTCTACAAGAGCTAGTTCCAGGACAGGAACCAAAAGCTACGGAGAAACCCTGTCTCAAAAAATCAAAAAAAAAAAAAAAAAAAACAAAAAACAACAACAACAAAAAAAAAAAAAACAAAAAAAACCTTCCTTTATTATCCTTAGAGATAAAAATACTAAATACCACTAATTTCCAGGCTGCCCCATAATTTACATTGCATTAAACTGTTCAGAAACAAGGTTTTCAATTAGAAAAATATTAGCAGTATAGAAGGAAACTTTGATGATAAGATCCTCATAATTTGATAGCCGCCCTGAGCTTGGCTGAGCGCCCTCTGGGGTTATCTTGGACATCTTCATCTTCTGGGGTAAGCACCTTCTTGTGAATCAGATCCCACATCAGAGGAGCTCTTCCAGAGCTGCTCCCCTCACTCTCATGATTTGAATCCAGCTGTGCAGTTTGCCTTACCTTCTGTCTGATGCTGAGGTTAAATCTTTCTGTCATACTTATCCCAAGCAAAAATCGTTTGACAATGCGATCTTCTAAAGAATGGAAGGAGAGCGCAACAAGACGACCACCAGTTTTCAGAAATTTCTGTGCTGTTTTCAGTCCTGTATAGAGTTCATTGAGCTCATTGTTCACAAAGATACGAAGAGCTTGGAACGTCTTGGTAGCAATGTGGGTAGATCTTTGTAGCAAGTCCTTTCTTGCATAGACAGCTGAGGTAGGAAAGGCACCTAGAGAGATTTTGTAAGAATAAGGAAAAAAGACAGGCAACATTAACATTTGCTATGTAAATGTCATATAGTGTGCGCTTTTAAAAAACTAAATTTTCTGAGAAAGTGATATTTCAGTAATAATTTCCTCTTATTTTAATTTTCTTTATGGTTTAAAACCATACAGCATAACTAACTTTTATAGCTCAACAACTGTAATCAAAGAGGAAGAAACAGAAAATATTTTGAAGATATTATTACAAAGTTTCACAACTTTGCAAAAACCATTAGCTTATAGTAATAAAAAGTGTAATGTGCTGAAAATAAAATAAAGAAAACCATATCTAGGTGCATCATAACTGAACTGCTACAAGCTAAAGACAGTAAGAAAAATCATAAAAGCAGCAAAGAAAATAACAGCTCCTCAATAAGTCAGTGCACAGAGGAGAAGAGACTGGGGAATGCTCAGCCATGAAAAGGACCTATGGACCACAATCCACCCTTCACGGCACAGGTTTCTTCCTGGAAGAAGGGGCAGAAATTTAAGAGCTGGTGGTGGCAGTGGTAGTAGTAGTAGATGACTTCCCAACACAACAGGAAGAGCACTGACAGTGATTATGAAAGCATGCAGAGGACACATGCAAGTTTAGGTCAAACAAACTCCCAGCAAAGAGGTGGCCAGGAGAGCACCAAGTCCCACCCCTTGTTGAGAAGCCATTGGCCTGTGATAGCTGTTGGAAGAGGAAGAGTTGAATTTTTTTTTTTTTTTTTAAATCTGATCCCTAGTAGGTTGACCACAGGCCATGGCAGGTCCCACTCCAAAGACTTCTTGGGCAAAATAAACTGAACTTTTTTGGGGAAAGGAGAAGAGTGCTCAGTGTACGAGAGAAAAGTATGGGAAGGCAGAGGCTCCTAAGCAGAGGTAGCCACCCTCTTGTGTCTTTCCCAATGAATTTCTTCTGTGCTGTTTGTTATGCAATGTAACTTTGTGGTGTTCCTTGGCTCCCGACTGCCAGGATACCTTTCCCCCCAGAATGCAACACTTGTATTGGGGAAAATAAATACTGTTTAAAATATATACAACATGAATGATAAAAGGAAGAGTATGGTAAATTGTGAGTTTATGAAAATTAAAAAGTTTTGCTTTGAAATGTAATAAAAATCCACAGAAAAGAAAAAAAATCAAATCACAAATCTAATGATATTTGAACCTAAAAAAGAAGCAAAGTGCAGAATAACAGAAGGTACTGTCTCCATAACACTCTGCAACATGCACATAAGACAGACTTGCTCTGCACAGCTTAAGGATTGGGATGAGCAAAAATGATGTTTCATACAAGCTTGCACTGGCAAAGGTAATATAATTATACCTTAGAAATGCCAATGAGTTTACACAAGAATTTTACCTTTAAGAGCAGGTTATTAGTAAATATTCCGAAGAAATTATATTTTCATTCTAGATTTCTTATGAATGAACTCTACAAGAATGAATGAAATCCTAGTATTTTAATACCTTACATATGCTTCTTGAAAAAAAGTAAATCACACAAGGATATGTATGCTTATCTCACATTTTATAATGTTTACACAGTATCAGGACAGTCAGTGTTGTATAGTAATTTTCTCTGTGAACTTCATTATACAAGAGGGAAGTAACATACAAAAGTATGAAGAACCTGGGTATCTAAAAGGACAATCACGACAAGCTCACTCTGTTCCCTGGAGACCTACATGCTAGAAAAGGTTAGAGTCTAGAAATTTATCGTCCAACCTGATGGGACTCTCAGAAACAAGATGTCACTGCTAGAAGAGAAAAGCTAGGTCATTTTCTTTTCATCTGTTAACTGATGCCTCACGTTTTTACAAAAAATAGTTTGGATCACTGAGAAATGAGTTTCACAGAATTTTAAGGACCTAAACAAAATTTAGTGAGTCATTATTTGAGGCTCAGATTTAGAGGAAGCTTGAACAAGACTGGATTCTTAGCTACTTCAGACTTTACAGAACTCAACACCACATTCAAAAGAGAAATACCATGTAAAATTCAGTTTCAAAACAAATATTACAGGGTGCTTTAAAATGATTTAAATTTACCATTATATTTACAATTTTATAGAAATTAAGAGCAAGTTATTCGTGGCAATCACTTAACTTGATACTTTATAACAGAATTTTTATTTCAAAGATATTCATTTCAGGATATAATTTTAAACATAGTACTGAATTATTCATAAAAGGCTTTATCTTATCTAAGTTCACAAAATAGAGAAAAGTGGAGAGCACAATGCATGTTTGCAGACTACTGTCAATGAATATGTTTTTGAAATAAAAAAGGCTTTTTTATAAGAAAATAATAAAAATAATCAACTGATATCTAGAGTAATCCTAGAAATAGAAAAAATGGCACTTTCCTATGGCCTCATAATAGAGAGTTTATAATTCTGACAGCAAGTTAGTTGTACACTATGAGGATCTTGGCCAATTTTATTTTTTAAACAAATTTGTTTTTATTTCAAAGTAGTAACATAAAGTAAAATTATGTTAATGTACTATATAGTACAATTTCAAGTTTATATAATCTATATTCACATTAGACATATCCATACCATATAGAAACCTGGAGACCACAACTTAAGATCCCTGTAATGAGACATGCTTTTCTTCAGGAGGGTCCCATTTGACCTTTGCAATGCTATGCAGTGACAGAAAATGAACACGAAATCTTTCAATTATATCTAGGTCAAAGAATAACAAGCTATTATTAAACTATTACGCTTTCATTCTGGAGCTTTGTTACTATTGTTTATGGAATTCTCATGTGGACTATATTTAACAGATTTCCTAGAGAGGATTTTTAAATATGGTCCAGTGACTTTCCTGTCCTATCTTCAGAGAACAAGAAATGCCGGGCTTTGTGAAGCATTTCAGTGTTGCTAAGAATATCTGTCACACATCCTCCTCTGTGTTGGATAAAGTAATTTCCAAGGCTTCTTTTCATTAATATCAGTGCTTTATCTTTATAGCTTACAAGAAGGAAGAAAGATAATTCAGATTTTGTAAAATAAAACTAAAAAAGGAATAAAAGGGGGAATGGGAAAATGGCTTAGTCAATATAATCCTTGCTGTGCAAGTACGAGACCTGGGTTCAGCCCCCGAGTGTCCAGTAAAAGCATGGCATAGCAACATGTCTGTTGCCCCAGTAATTTTGGGGCTAGAGACAGTTGAACACTAGGGCTTCACTGGCCAGACAGCTAAGTCAAATTGATGTGCTTCAGCTTCACTGAAGAAGCCCTATTTCAAAAAGCAGGAAGAGCAACTGAGGGCGACACTTAACATAGATCTCTAAATTTTACTTATAAGCGCGTGTGCACGCACACATGCACAACACACACAAAGAATATAAGGTATCCATAAGAGAGTTCAAAAGCAATAAGAACAAAGCACCAAATAGCAAGAATACAAATAAAAAAATACAAATGAAAAGGTCTACCAAACATGAAGGATTCATCAAGGCTTTTTTTTTTTTCCCCCAGTTATTAAGCTGAGAGACAAGTAAGCATCCTGTCATCGTAAGAATCCCTAAATGGATTTCCTTGTTGCAGTCACTGGTCAAGAGTGCTAGGATGGAGTCTTCATGACTATCAGAGATTAGATAGAAACATCTATTTACAAGTCATTGGGAGAAAAAGATTCAAAACCACACGAGATTCACTAACTTCTCAGATGTTGGGTTCTGGATTAGGCCATTAAGGAAGAGAATATTAATGAAAGTGAGACATGGTCCCAGCCTTTAAGGAGCTCAGTTTTGTGACCTGTCACCTCATCCTAATCTCCCCCAGGCTTTTCTTTAAAATCAGAAATAGAATTTGTCTGTTCTTCCATTTCCTGAGTTTAATCATGGAGTCTAGTATACATAATTCATTCAATTATGGAATAAAGTAGCCAAGACAGAAAGTTATCATTTTTGTGTTTTATTAACAGATTTGGCTGACATAGGACAATGTATATTAGTTTTATGTGGGAAAAAGTGTGCTTAACCCAGGTAGAACTCATCACAATTACCCCATATTTACCAAACTCACAGATTTGTCTCTGATTTTCTTGACAGCAGGAGCTGTTTCCTGTTTCCTCCTAAAGCCCCAGCATACCTTCGACAAAAATGAGATAACTAGCTCTGCTCTAGACCTAACGAGTCAGTTTCAGCGGTTCATTACATAGAGTCAGTACCTTAAAAGAGCCTGATATTTCTTTGAGGTCAAGAGACAAAGCCATTTTTTAAATTTACTTCTTTTTCAAACTATATATTTGTCATAATATTCCTCTCTCCAAACTACTCCCAGATCTTCTCCATGCAATCCCTACATTCTCAACTTCATATTCTGTCTCTCAAAACCAACCACTTAAGAAAATGCTCAACATCCTAAGCCATCAGAGAAATGCAAATCAAAACAACTCTGAGATTCCACCTTACACCTGTCAGAATGGCCAAGATCAAAAACACTGATGACAGCTTATTTTGGAGAGGATATGGGGTAAGAGGACCACTCTCCTTCACTGCTGGTGGGAGTGCAAACTGCTATAGCACTTTTGGATATGGCAATTTTCAGAAAATTAGGAAACAACCCACTTCAAGATCCAGCAATACAACTTTTGGGTATATACCCAAAGGATGCTCAATCATTTTACAAGCACATGTGCTCAACTATGTTCATAGTAGCATTATTCGTCATAGCCAGAACCCGGAAACATCCTAAATACCTCTCAATCGAAAAGTGGATAAGGAAAATGTGGTACATTTACACAATGAAGTACTACATAGTAGGAAAAAAAAATGACATCTTGAAATTTGTAGGAAAATGAATGGAGCTAGAAAACATCATACTGTGTGAGGTAACCCAGACCAATAAAGACTAATATAATATGTACTCACTCAGAAGTGGGTTTTAGACATAAGGCAAAGAAAACCAGTCTACAATTCACAATCCCAGAGAACCAAGTCAACGATGAGAATCCTAACAAAG